TAGGTGATGCCCTCCGCAGGACATAGCTGACCAAGCCAACCGCAGGCAAACTTGCCGCCACGGTCGGAATGAAGATGCAGCACAGGGAGGCCGAGATGGACTCGCACAGCTACGACCCACGGAATATAAATGTCAGGCACGTCGGCCTTACGCTCCAGGAGAAACACCATGGTGTAGCGCGTGTAGTCATCGACAAGCACCAGAAAGTAGCGCTCTCAATGCGGCACCGGGTCAGGGGCTGGGTCCCGAACGTTCAGGTGCAGGGTCTGGAGGGGTGTAGTGGTAGGGGGAAGCGAGGAGGAGTGAGGAGCACGGCACAGCCGACCCTCGACGCAGGGCATGCACGGCGGCGCAGGCGAGGGAGGTAGGGCAGGGATCAACGCAAGGAGACTGAAGACAAGACCGTGATGGGACATGTGACGCAAACGCAGGAGTGCGGGGTGACCTAGGCGGTGGTGCGACAACAACGATGGGTGGGTGAGCGACCGACCCCGTGTCTGGCCTGTTCACCCTAGACAACGCGTCTACCCCGGTGGGACTGTCCCCCCAGGTCGTCGCATCCTCCCAGGTTGCTGCAGCTTGCTCCGCCCTCTCTCCCTCCCTCCCTCCCTCCCTCCCTTCCTCCTTCGCGTTCTCCCTCCCTCCTTCCCTCCCTCCCTCCCTCCCTCTGTCCCTTCCTCCCTCCCTCCCTCCCTTTCTCCCTCCCTCCCTCCCTCCCTCCCTCCCTCCCTCCTTCCCTCCCTTCCTCCCTCCCTCCCTCCCTCCCTCCGTCTCTCCTTTCCTCCCTCCATCCCTCCGTCTCTCCCTCCGTCCCTCCGTCCCTCCGTCCCTCTGTCACTCCTTCCCTCCGTCCCTCACTCCCGTCGTCCCTCGTTCCCTCCGTTCCCCCCTCGGTCCCTCCCTCCGTCCATCCGTCCATCCGTCCGTCCGTCCGTCCATCCCTCCGTCTGTCCGTCCGTCCGTCCGTCCCTCCCTCCGTCCCTCCCTCCGTCCCTCCCTCCGTCCCTCCGTCCGTCCCTCCGTCCCCCCCTCCATCCCTCCGTCCCACTCTCCCTCCGCCCCTCCCTCCGTCCCTCCGTCCGTCCGTACGTCCGTCCGTCCGTTCCTCCCTCTGTCCCTCCGTCCCTCCATCCCTCCCTACCTCCCTCCCTGCCGCTCTTCCTTCGTTCCCCTCTTGCACCACTCGTTGTAGGCATTTATCTTCATTCCTCCCCCCCCCCGGTCACATTACCTCTTGCACCCCTGCCTCGCATTCCTCTTGCACCCCTGCCTCACATTCCTCTTGCACCCCTGCATCGCATTCCTCTTGCACCCCTGCATCGCATTCCTCTTGCACCGATGCCCATCCCTCACTGCTCTCTTTCCATTCCCTGAGCCTCTCTGTCCTCCGCCCCCGTCCCTCTCCACTTCTCAGTCTCTTGGCATCACTGGAGCTGGACTCCCTGCTGGACCGCGAGTTCGTCTGCTTCAGCTACCCTCCCCCTCCCCCAGTGGACGCCTTCCCTTCGCTGCGTGCCCTTGCTCTCCTCTACAAGCCGTCCCACTACCGCTCCATCGTGCGCTGCTCCTCCCTCACCGCCCTCACCCTCTGGCACCCCAACGCCTTTGCGCTCTACTCCCTCGCTGCATCATCCACTCCTGTGCGCGCGTGCCTGTTGTCGCTCACCATCCACGACGCCTGGCTCGAGTCCGCCTTCACGCCCCTCGCCTCCTTCCCCCGCCTCGCCTCCATCTCCCTCCGCTTCTGCAGCATCGACCCTTGCAAGCTGCACGCCCTCTCTCGCCCCCTGCACACTCTCACCCACCTCACCATCCACCACTGCCCCTTAGTCTCCAGCCGCCCCCTCACAGCCCTTGCTCACGCCAACCTCGCCCTCTCCTCCCTCACCCTCTGCGGCACCAACTACCGCCTCTTTAGTGCCCAAGCCTTCTGCAATCTGCTCCGAACTTCCTCCCCCCACCTGCACACCCTTACTCTCTCAGGGCTGCCGTCTTACCGCCCTGGCATGCTTACACGCTGCAGCAAGCTGCGATGTCTGACCCTGGAAGGGAGGGGGGAGGCAAGGGAGAGTATCTTTCCTGGTGAGTCGCCGCAGAAGCCGTCTCTGACCAGCCTTGCGGCCATGCTGGTGCGCGTGGAGCGGAGGGCAGGAGGTGGAGGAATGGCAGGAGGGGACTATGGAGTGGTGATGGAGGAAAGGGTGGGAGGAGGCACGGCTGATTCTGCAGCAGCAGCAGCAGCACCAGACACAGCAGCAGTCGCAGACACAGACACAGCAGCAGTCGCAGACACAGACACAGCAGCAGTCGCAGACACAGACACAGCAGCAGAAGCAGCGGCAGCAGAGGAAGAAGAGAAAGCAGCAGCGCAAGAAGCTGCCATGGTGGGAGGGCATCACGTTTTGAGGCACCTCAAAACAGGAGCGTAGGGGCAAGAAGAGGCGGCGGTACTTGGATATCCGTTCAGAGGCGGCAGCAGGACGCGCTGACACGGTGGCAGCATTCGACGACTCGAGGGCACTCATGAAGACAGTGCAGTGGAAGTTGAAGAAAGCAAGTGCTGAAGCCAGGCACGCTCGAAACACACTCGACAAGTCAGCAGTATCTTGCATCCGATTGGCAGTCATTCTAGTCAGGTCTGCTATTTCTGCCTCCCGGTGCGTGCTGCTGGGGGTGCGCGAGGTGAACACGGAAATAGACCGGGAGATGGTTCTGGCAGAGGCGGGCACTGCTGCTGACGCTGCAGGCTTCTTCACTGCGCTGCTGGACCGACAAGGGAAGGAGGAAAGAGCGACTGAAGGGGAGGGCGAAGGAGGACCGGATGAGGCAGAAGACCTCATCGGATTCTTGCCTGAGGATGACCTGCCGGCTGACCTGGCTGACGTGTGTGAGACTTTGTTAGGGGAGCCGAGTGCGGCATGGCCGGCGTTTGTAGCGGTGTCGCGTGATGGCGCAGCTGGTGGCGCAGCTGATGGCGCAGCTGGTGGCGCAGATGACCGCCATGGCTGACAACCTCGAGATGGATCATCCAGCACTGCTGGGGCCAGCCGCACAGGCGGCAGGTGCTGCAGCAGCAGCAGCGGCAGCAGCAGCAGAAGGAACAGCAGCAGGGACGTTGAGAGAGGGCGAGAGAGTAGCAGGAGAATCACAACAGCTGCCACGGGCAGAGGAGAGAGGAGGTCCAGGGAAAGGCGAACGGCAGGGCAGTGGCAAGACAACCGGCACACCTACAAAGGGTGACATATCCGCAACTCCTGTGGACGTGATCTGCCCTCCGCTGGAGTCCTTGACCCTCCGGAGCATCCACTTTGCCCCCCCACTTGACCCTTCCTGGCTGCCGTCGCCCCTTCCCTCTGCCTCTCCTCTCATGTGCCTCTCCCCTTCTCTCCATTCATCCTCCCCCCTCTTTGCTGCCCCAAACCCCATTAGCGAGCCTCAAACCTTTGCCTCCACGGGATGAGCGGCTGCATTGGGGCGGCTGAAGAGGCGGGCCGTACTGAGGTGCAGAGGGGCGGGGGAGAGGCCGCTGCTGAAGCTGCTGCGTCCATGCGCCCTGCTGGACGACCTCACCGTGGAGCGCAGCAGCACGCTCTCCCATGGGGTGGTAGTAGGATGTAAGTTGGAGATGCTAACCTGGTTGACTGTGGTGGGGTGCGGTGCAGTCACTGCAGCCAGCATTGGAGGGCTGCTGGGTAGTTTTCCCAAGCTGCAGCATTTGAAGGTGGAAGCAGAGAAGGTATCTGAGAGGGCTCGAAGGGAGTTGCTTCGTGCTGGCGTGGTTGTGAGGGGGTTTGACACTGGCTGGTGGGGGGAGTGTGACACCGGCCGGCGAACAGGGTTGCCGCATCGTCGAACCTCAACCTGAACCTGAACCGCTTGTTTTGTGGTCCTTGCTTTGGAATGCTGCAAGCTGCATGTTCCTTATGGCTGTTGGATGCGGTGGCTGGTTACTGTGTGCTTCAACTGCCAGGTGTACATCTCAAGCTCTTCACTCTTGTGCAAGAGAAACATGGCATAGCTGTAGTGCCCAAGCTATTCTTGCGCTAGCTTTTTTGCATTGAAGTGAACTACACTGGTACCTATGTTGGCCGATGTGCCTTGTGAGTCGACTCAAATGCCAGCATGAGGTGCCATGTAAGAATGGCCCTTGCCATATTTCGACGAAATCAAACTCGGTGCATGGTGCGGTGTGGTGTGGTGTGCATCCTGCCTGGTGGTGGTGGTACGGCTTGAATCGCGCACTTCCATTCCATTCCAACAAAATGCTCCAATCCAAGAGCCCAACCAACAGAAGTATACTCACATCAAATCAAACAATCGCACTGCAATACATGCTGCCAGTCTACCTTCATAGCCAAGGGGGAGATGGATGAAATCAAGGGGTATGGTGGGCTTGAGGCCCTCCACACGTGGCGGAGTCACGACTCACGGCACAGCAGGAGGGGGCAGGGGTGCTGCCGGTATGGTCGGGCCACTGGCAGCAGCACCAGCGGCAACAGCAGCAGCAGCAGCAGCGGCTCCCATGGCTGGTTGCTGCAGCACGGGCGGCAGGACTGCTTTGTCCCGATTGCTGACGGCTGGAGAAGTGGGAAGGGAAGAGAGGCGTGGATTGAGAGAGTGGAGAAGTCCTTCACGACCCATAGAGCAAAAGAGTTGATAGTTGACAAATACTGGCGTAGAAGCACCACAACGCACAATAGGGGGGGAGAGATGGAGGTTGAGGCTGACAGGGGTGGGAGAGGAAGGAGGCAGCACGACGGTGAGGTAGAGAGGGGATGGGGTGGGGGATAGAGAGAGGGGGGGGGGGGATGGGGGGAGAAGGGCTCATTGTGGGCCAAGGGGGTTGAAAAAAGTGAACGGAGGGACGGAAGGCAGGTCTGTGAAAAAAGCGGGTGCTGAGGCACATGTGCATGGCATTGCTGACGGCGGTGCTGAGTGCAGTGTGAGTGAGCAAGGGCAGTAGCAGCAGAGCAAGAGATGAGTGCACGGTGCAGAGCCACCCACGTGTGATCTTGGGCAGGGGCGCGTGCACCGTGATGGGCATGGACCACTCGCCCCGCTCCGTCTCCGCCCCCATGGCCAGCGGGTGCGGCCGCTCATGCATCTGCTGCTGCTGCTGCTGCCGGGCCTTGCCCGCACCACCTGATACGCTGCCTGCTGCTGGCAGGGGTCGTCTGGTGGATGCACAGAACTCAAAGTGCAGGATCCATTGGGGAGGGGGGGCGGGGGGGAGGGAAAGGGGGAATAGAAAACGCAATGGAAACGCAAGGTGAAAGGATGCTGCATCTGCTGCTGTGCTGCTGCCTCGCATTGCCCGCACTTGTTTGTGTGCTTACTGTGGGTAATGGCCGTCTGGCGAAGGCGCAAAACTGAGCCACAAAGAAAAGGAAAGTGGAACTCAGCAGGGCAACGAAACAGAACCAGACAGAACAAAGGAAATAAAAACGGTACCTGCAGCGAGATGATGGTACCTGCAGCGAGATGATGGTACCTGCAGCGAGATTATGGTACCTGCAGCGAGATGATGGTCCCTGCAGCGAGATGATGGTACCTGCAGCGAGATGATGGTACCTGCAGCGAGATGATGGTACCTGCAGCGAGATGATGGTACCTGCAGCGAGATGATGGTACCTGCAGCGAGATGATGGTACCTGCAGCGAGATGATGGTACCTGCAGCGAGATGATGGTACCTGCAGGGAGATGATGGTACCTGCAGCGAGATGATGGTACCTGCAGCGAGATGATGGTACCTGCAGCGAGATGATGGTACCTACAGCGAGATGATGGTACCTGCAGCGAGATGATGGGTGTGGCGAAGGAGGCGGCGGCGTCGGAGGGGATGGTGAAGATGAAGTGCGTGTGGAGCAGATCCAACGTCACCTCGTGGTGCTCCATCTGCAGCACCGGCAGGTGCAGCGGGGTCTGGGGAGACGCACGCAAGAGAGGTATGGGGAACGAAGGGGAAGCGGAAGGGGATGGGGATGGGGGTGGGGATGGGGGTGGGGATGGTGCAGCAGATGCACCATCACCATCTACAGCACCTGGGGGTCTGGAGAGGAGAGAGGATAGGGGGGGGGGGGAGAGGGAAGCAGGCAGGGAAAGGGCAGCGAGAGGAGGGGAGAAAGGGGTGAGGGAGCGGGGCAGGAGGGGTTGATACGAGAGGAAAACTGCCGAGTGTGAAAACAAGGTCTCGAAACCCACTCACGGTGGTGGCAAACCACTCGAAAACCACTCAAGTGGTGGCAAAGCACAGTGGTGGTAAACCACTGGAAAACCACTCATGGTGGTGGCAAACGATTGGAAAACCACTTATGGTGGTGGCAAACCAGTGGTTTACCACTCATATTGGTGGCAAACCACTGGAAATTCACTGATCGTGGTGGCAAACCACTAGAAAACCACTCATGGTGGTGGCACATGACTCACTTTGGCTGCGGAGGCGGCAGCTGCTACTCTCCTGGATGTGTGGAGGGCACGTGGGTTGATGACCTCGTGCATCTCCAGCAGCACCGATACCTGGCGGGCAGATGAATTGTGAACGGAGCACGAGAGAGAAGCGGGTTGATGATCTCATGCATCTCCAGCAGTGCCGACACCTGGTGGGCGGATGAATTGTGAACGGAGCACAAAAGAGAAGCGGGTTGATGGACTCATGCATCTCCAGCAGCACTGATGCCCGGGCCGGGAGGGTGATTGATGGGATAACACGAGGGCCACACACCAACACAGCAGTGGGGACAAGGTGGGCGGCGTGCAGGACAAGACTGAACGCACTGAAACAAAAATCATCCATACACACATACACGCATGCACCCCCACCCCACACATCCACACCCACACACACATGCACCCATGCACGCATGCACGCGCCCACACACGAGCACACGCAGAGACACATATCGGAAGACGCTGGAGCAGACAGAAACTATCAAGTGTGTGTGCGACGAACCTCGAGGCATCTTCTAGGGCCGTCCTCGATAGGGAAGGAGAGAGTGCCGGACACCTAATGCGCGTGAGGGGTGTGGAGAGAGAGGGATAGGGAGGGAAGGGGGGGGAGAGGGAGAGGAGGGAAGGAGAGGGGGGAGGGAAGGAGAGGAGAGGGGGAGGAGGGAAGGAGAGGGGGGGACGGAGACGGGGAGATGGATTACAAGAGGGGGAGGAGAGGGGAGAGGGAGGGAGTGAGGGGGAATAAAAATGGGGGAAGGAAAGTGTGATGAGAAACAGAGTGGTAGTAAATGGAGGAAAACCAGAGGAGGAAGAGTGAGAGGTGAGAAGTCAACCTGGAAAAACGTTGGTATGATGGCATGTGAGGGCATGGTTTGATGATAGCAGATGATTGCGGATGGTTAAATGTGAATGCCCATGTCCGCATGATTGCACAGGTGCATGGGTTCCGCCGCACAAGACAACACGATTCACAGTCACACACACCATCCAGCATGTGGCACATAGTAAGAGAGCCACAGTTGCTACTCCACTCACCATGCCCCCCAGATATTATACCAGCTGAGGGGTCCTGGAAATGCATGGAACAAGCATGAGAAATGGAGTAAGACAGGCTGTGCTGCGCCTCACCTGTGTTTCTGGGGATGAAGTATGCAGAGCTGCGAGCAGCCGATTCGGCAGAATCCCAATGCTCATACGCATAACTTTTTCCTTGTACCATTAATCGAAATCCAAACTTTTCACAACCTTCGTACACTCCGATAAATGAACGACTTTGTGTCGCTAATGGTGGTATCCCACAATGATGCATCGTAAAGATAGCATCCAGAAAAGGAATCGTGGTTATTTGTCCTTTATTTACAAACAAGCTCCGACTATAAGGAAGTGTTTTATTGCCGTGACAACCACGATGCTTTAGAATGTAATATTCTCGCGCCCAAGCTGCATGTTTCTTACTTTCAAAGCCCGGAATGAATAGTTTCTTCCCCTTTAGCATCATTCTTATTGCAAAACAACCCTTGTGCTCTATAATGCCGATAACTTTTGACTCATCGATAAGTTTATCTGGGAGTGTAAAACTAATAACACCATTGGGATCCACTCGACCATCGAATTCATTAATATTATGTTTTTCCTTTTGGGTACGTGCGCCATTTGACGACCGGTTAACAATTGAGGGATCATGCAGTCTGTTGTCTATTCCGAGGTTATCACGAGAACATCCTAAAATCTCAATTGCTGAAGGATGGTTTCTATTTTGAACCTCATGCGGAATGTCATTCGACACCACATGATTACGATTCTCAAGAACTGAAGCGTTCACGCGATTTCGAAGAAAGAAAGACCCATAAAGTTCACCTTGATGAGATTCCTTCAACAGGGTATAATGAATATTTTTTAGCAATAAGTGGACATCGTCGATATTGTTGACGAAATTCACACCCTCACAATGACCCCATTCCCGTTGATGGAACCAAACGATAACCGCTCTTTCTTTCAATTCGCAAAAAGCTTTGATTTCGCACAACGTGCCCCATACGTGATTAGGCTTGATGAATTCACGGTACTTTGTGGGGCTATCCAGATGTGAACCATGACATCCTTTAACCTCCTCTGCAAAAGTTGACCAGTTGCTTTGTACATGAAGTGTTATTTCTCCTTTCAAAGTGTCCCACGATGATTCATCGCCTGCGATGGCCAAACATCTATACAAGCATGCCCCATCACCACTCACAGTTTTATGAAGAAATCGAAACTCCCGCCTCAACTCACCAAGCAGAGACACTCCTGTAAAGATCATCCGGGCAGAAGAATCAGATCCCATGTTGTAACGAGATGTTGTCGGCTCACCACACTTCCCTCACCCACCACGCTCTCCAATATGTTTCGATGCGAGTTTCAACAGCGATGAACACTTTCGATCCTGCTCAATGTAGATTATGGAAAAAATCTAAAACAATAATTACATAGAGAGAAAATATAAAATTCAAACATTCATGCTTTAACATTTAGTTGATCAAGAATCATGTACATCAGTCTAAATAAGCCATACACAAAAAACAGCTTTACAATCATAGCATTTCTACTTATCAATACTCTTGACATCCTCACACTCATTAGATCCTTTCTTCGCATCGTTCGGGATGTCGTCTCTATTAGTCGACTCAATTTTGTCACCATTTGGAAGAGTATAACTTGCACGCTCTTCCTCCGTCAGACTTCGAAAATCCCTATGTCTCATAAAACGAAGGACTCCTCCCTTCATAAGCACCCTACCCCCACCTAGTAGTAACTTTCCGCCTCGCATTATCCCCGTCCATCCCTTCGCATAATATTCACTCTTTCTCTTCTTATTCTCAGCCTCCCTCTTAAACCTCTCCCTTGCAGATTCGCTTTTCCGTTTCGGAGGCATCTCGAGGATACGACCAACGCCTCACCTGAAGAAACGAAAATTCAGTACTTTAAAGCGAGAGCCGCACTTGCTGCTCTAGGGACTGCACAATTGGGGAAACAAGAATTTACGTACCGTCGAATTAGTGACAGTGGGTATCAAATATTACCTGAACACTAAAACCCTACATGTTCGGTGACAATGGTTATCGAAACTAAATCACCTTGGCAGCCAAACAGACAAATGACAACAGCTAAGCCACACAAAGTCAAGAGACATCCTATACGAAATCTAGAAGTAAGGAAGAAATAGAATGAAACTCACATAGAACAAACAACAAAAGAAAACAAAGTAAAACGCATATTAAAAGCGATGGGTATCGAACCCTAACGTTGAGCATGTACAAAAACTGATGACCCAAAGGACCCGAAACGCACCCTGTACAAAATATCATAAAACACAAAAGAAATCACGCATAACATATAACCGAAGAAAACAGAGGGAAGCACCATATCAGTTGCTAGAGGTATCAAACCCAGGTGATCTTGACTCACACCCCATCGAGCAGACCGCTAAATAAAAAGAACTCAAGAAATGGTCTGCACTAAACGTTCACCCATAAACAAGATCAAGCTCACATCAAACAAACAATAGAAACCAAGAAGAAGAAAAAAAAAAGAGCAAAACGAAACACGGAAGACATCGTTATAGGTCCTCACCTTGCTAGAGACACACAATTGAGCAGACCGCTGAACCACAGAACAACCTACACGTGATATAAACATAAAATGTAACAAAATTCGCATAGAACAAATAACAGAAGAAAAGTGAGAATTAGAGCTTATTAGGTGACAAGTATCGAAACCAGGTAATTACATAAGCCAAACTCGATCGAGCAGACCGCTCGGTCAAACAAGTCAACAATCTGCACTTCATGTGGACATAAAAACTGAATAAAACTCAATCGGACAAACAACAGCAGAAAACAGAGAAGAAAACAGTCAAAAAAAAAAAAAAAAAAAAAAAACAAGGGTATCAAACCCTGCTGCTCACCATGCCCATGAACACAGTGAACCGCTGTTCCTTAGAACTGAAGAAATTGGCTGCACGTAATATTCACAAAGGAAAAACAACTCAAGAAAATTGGAAACAAAGTACAAGGAGTTCAGTGGATATCGAACCCGGGTGGTTGCAGCAACGAACCCTGTCGGGCACAAAACAACTGGGCGAACAAACACAACAGTTGCTAAATAACAAAATAATATTGAAAAACAGACAAAACAGACACAATTTTGAGGAGCAGTGGGAATCGAACCCGAAGAGATCACCTTACCAACCAGATGAAGAGCTGCTAAACGAAGAACTCCAAGATGTGTAGTAAATTAAAAAAAATCAAATAGTGCAAACAACATAACAAAATATAAAAAGGCGGCACATATTTGGTGACAATGTGTATTGAATCCGAGTGACCACCCTAGTCCCAATTTTAGAATGAAATGAAATTTGCATACAACAAACAGAGGAACCAGAAAAGAAAATATGATGCCGGTAAGTATTGAATTTGGATCATTCCCTTCCCAACTGAAGCTACCCACTATACTAGATGTAGCTTACATAGTGAACAATTAAATTTAAATTAATGTTAACAAATCATTCAACAAGCTTGGAAGTAGGGTGCAGTTCGTGAGAATCGATCTTCGACACTCACCAGTATCCTAAAGCTGCACGCAACTGCGTCAGATGACACGAATCGTGAGTCTGCCAATAATTATTTTCTTTATAATTATAGAAAAAGCAGCACATATTAGGTGACAATGTGTATTGAACCCTAGTGACCACCCTAGTCCCGATATTAGAAAGATATGAAATTCGCATACAACAAACAGAGGAACCAGAAAAAAAAAAAATGATGCCAGCGAGCATCGAACCTGGATACGCACCCTTCCCAGAAAAAGCTACCCATTAGACTAAACGTAGCTTACATTGGGTGAACAAATAAATTTAAATTAACGTTTACAGATCATTCAACGAGCTTGGAAGGAGGGTACAATTCGTGAGAAACGATCTTCGAAACTCACGAGGATCCTAAAGCTGCATACAGCTGCGACAATGGCACGAATCCCAATCTG